TTAGTAAAAAAAAAGGAATATGTACTAACCAGCTACCAATTTAGCTTTTTGTAGGGTATCTTGGCACTGAATATTTGATTTGGGGTTTGAGTTTGAGTCGACGGAATTTCTGGAGCGCCCTGCTGCTTGGCTGTAGTGGTTTGCACGACCTGTTTTTGTTAGTGATTGTAAATGGACATATTTTAGACCCATCTTTTAATAGAAATACATCCCAGTTTTTAATAATTGACATTGTTTTAACCAAATCTAATAGATTTTTTTAAGGTGGTATATGTCTAATAGGTAGACCTAAAAATATCCATTTTTTTAATACCATCATAGAAATTTCTAGCATCCGGTACAGTGGAATGTATCCACCTTCGGGAGCCTGTTTTTTCGTCTTTCGAAGAGGTCAACTTCCCCCGTCATGGAGAAATAGATGATATTCATTTTAATCCAGGATTTAGTGGGATTTTACTGGGATTCTAATGGATTTTAACGGGACTTTAATGGAGCACAATGGGATTTGATCACCTTGGATTTGCTGAATCGATCTTTTATTTTTCGAAATCTACTACTGGGGTGCCAAACTTCGCGGAACAAGGGGGAAATAAAAAGAAAACATAAGGAAACAAAACGAAATTAAGGTTTTGGGGCTATGTGCCTGGATTGGTAGCACCCCTTCAGTGCAAAATCAAGAAATTTACGATTGAAAATGGCCATGTTGCATACGCAGAAACTGTTGTTTATGCTTATAAATGCTGCCGATGACCCAAAAATTGTCAAAAATGCATCTTGTTTCTTCAGAATCGTTTGATTTCTTCCCATTGTTTGGTTTCTTCAACTCTATGAGGCACATTTTTATAAGTAAAAATGGCCCTGTTGCATACGTAGAAATTGCCCTTTTTGCTGCAAATGGCAAAAAATGCATCATTTTTGTTGATTGTTAAATATTTTTCATGTATTGTGAATATACTTCTCAAAATCAACTTGCCAAAGATGGAAATTTATCATGAAAAAACACCACAGCGCAATGCTATTTTGACTTCAAAAACCTGAAAACGCATTGAACATTTTTTTTGGTTAACATAAGTGACATAAGGCAGGAAAAATACAATTGAACATGGCCATGTTGTGACAAACATTGGGGGATTGGGGACTCTGCAGAGTAGGAAGCGGTGCATATACCGCTTCGTTGTTTCACAAGTTGGCCAAATGTAAGTATTTTCAAACAAATGTTGGAAGGTCCCTGGGTTCAACTAATGCCATATACCAATAGTATACCCTATTCTGGTTTTGAAACATGACTGAAAAACCATTCTTGGGATTTCCGGCCTTTGGGTTTCAAGAACAATTGTTTTTGACCTCGCAGTTTTGCGGTCAGCTACCAGCCCTTGGCCCCCGGACAAAACAAGATGAAGCCCACGAACCCGAATGCTCACACGTATGTTAATGGTACAGATGTCAAAAC